CCCCAAAACCCCAAAACCCCAAAACCCCATATTTGCTATCAGATTGGATAAATTAAGTATAGATTATTAACCTAAACATAGTCATAATTAATAAAATATCATTAAATAGAGATGGAAGATACAAAAAACTATCAGGAGCTTTTCCTTGCTATCGGACTTGATCCCAAGGTTGTAGATTCAATCACAAAGAACAAGAAAGTCAGTCACAGACTCGCTGAAGTCGTCGAGGCTGCAGGAGTTACCACAGCAACTAAAAATATTGGAAATCTCCTCTATCAAGCATCAACAAAGATGCCAGAATCAATCACTCATCATACCAAGTACTTAGTCTCATTTGTTATTTCTGAGCAAATAGTAAAGTCACAATAATTAGAAGAGGCAATTAAATACCTCTCTAATGTTGTGAGACAATAGGGAGCAGAGCATGCCGTTGACGAAGCTGAATTCAAAAGGGAATCTGGTATTGGAGTTGTCTACTCTGATGAAGATATCGCTAACTTTGTAAACAAGCTTTATGATGAAAATATGGACTAAATAAAGGAGCTTGGTCACGGCTTTGACTTCATCAAGCTTATTTATAGAGCTAAAGACGAAATGAAATGGGCTGATTAAAAGAAAGTACTTGATTTACTTAATAAGAAGAAGATTGAGCTTGTTGGAGAACCATCCAAAGATGCTGATGCTAAAAAGAAGAAGCCAAAGCCTGCAGCTCCAGCAAAAGAGGAGAAGAAAGAACAAGCTGCCTCAGAATAAGCTGCATCTACTGGCAAAAGTATTCTTGAATTAGTAGGAAGAGATCTTAAAAGTACACAAAACTCAGAAGAGTTACTCAAGAAACATAGAGAAGCAACTGGCGGTAGAATTGTGACTAGATTTCCCCCAGAACCAAATGGATATCTTCACATCGGCCATGCCAAAGCTATGAGATTCAATTTCACTGTCGCAGCTGAGAATGGTGGCTACACCTATCTCAGATTTGATGATACCAACCCAGTCAAGGAAAATTAAGAATTCATTGATAACATCAAGTACTGCGTTGAATGGCTAGGATATACTCCACATGACATTACATATGCCAGCAACTACTTTGAAGAGCTCTATCAATTAGCTAGAGAACTTATCAAGAGAGATAAGGCTTATGTTGAGCATTGCTCTAAGGCTTAAATCAATGAAATGAGACAAAAGAAGCAGGATTCTCCATACAGAAACAGAACTGTAGAGGAAAATCTTAAGTTATTCGAGCACATGAGACAAGGTAGATTCATTGAAAACGAATGCTGCCTTAGAATGAAGATTGACATGACTCACGAAAATCCAAACATGAGAGACCCAGTTGCTTATAGAATTAGATACGTTCCTCACCCACACGCAGGTAGTGATTGGTGTATCTACCCAACATACGACTACACTCATTGCATCAATGATTCTCTCGAGAACATTACTCACTCACTCTGTACATTAGAATTCGAGAACAGAAGAGAGTCTTACTACTGGCTACTAGAAGCCCTTGATTTATATAGGCCAATAGTCTGGGAATATAGCAGACTCAACCTAACTTATACTGTTCTTTCCAAGAGAAAACTTGAAAAACTTGTTAAGGATAAAGTTGTTGATGGATGGGAAGACCCAAGACTTCTCACAATTCTCGGTCTAAAGAGAAGAGGTTATACTCCATCAATGATTAATGAGTTCTGCAATGAAATTGGAGTTTCAAGAAACGGAAACGACAACTTCACCCAAGTCAGTCTTCTAGAGTACTTTGCAAGAGTCGAGTTAGACAGAGAAGCACCAAGAACATTCGGTGTCCTGGACCCAGTACTCTTAGAAATTGTAAACTATGATGAGATCTAATAAAAAGATATTGAAGCTCCACTATTCCCAACTGACAAAAGTAGAGGTTCTCAAATCTATAAATTATCTAAGCATGTCTATATCGACAGAGATGATTTCTCAGAAACTCACGTTAAAGGCTTCTTCGGTCTGACTCCAGAGCAATTAGTTTGCCTGAAATATGGACCAATCGTCAAACTAGTGGAAATAGTTAGAAATGCAAATGGAGAGGTTCAACTTGTCAAGGTTTAGGCCATCCATGACCACAAAGAAAAACTTAAGGGATACCTCCACTGGGTATCTTAGGAGCACAGTATGGATGCTGTAGTTAATCTTTACTCATATTTGTTCATTAAGGAGAGAGTTGTAGAAGATGATTGGGAAAAATACCTTAACCCAGATTCACTTGTTGTTAAAAATAATGCTAAGGTTTGGAAGAACCTGGAAAACTCTTAAGTTCATGACAGATTCTAATTCGAAAGACTGGCTTACTTTGTTATTGACAAAGAGTCAAGAACTGATAAGCACAATGGAAAGTTAGTTTTCAACAGAGTTGTCGAGCTAAAAGAATCAAAAGAGAAAAAAGTCAACTTGGGAAAGTGACAATGATTTAAATGAAGCATAAGTGATTATTTTAATTGCTAAGGTTTTATAATAGTCTATGTTAAAATTAAAAATATATTCTCAAATTATTTTAATATAACTCTCAATCAAAATGAATCAACTCATTAAAGACGGTCTTCAGCCGTATCTGTTATCACCTTAGGAGAAGATGAGTGCTGTTGACAAGATACAGAAAAACATCTAATATATGCAAGAGCACACTGATAAATTCAACTACCCATCAACTCAAAATTTCTTAGAGAATATACACTCAAGGAAGGCTTAGCTGTTTCCGAACAGTGTTAAGCAAATGAGTCCCTTAGTTTTCAATTAAAACTCTGAGTAATCAAGAGACATGTTTCCTTCTCTCGAAAGAAAGGTCTACGATTATAATTCCAATTAAAATGAAGGCACCCCAAGAAGTAATAACAAGTCTGTTAATCTGAATAACAATCCTTATAATTCCAGACTAAAGGAGCAATTAAAAAAGAACTAGAACATGATCAACGCTTAGTAAAGCTATAATTTCCAGCATAATTACTCCTCGAGATTAAAGGAATCATCAAGAAGAAAGCTAAATAAAATAAAATAGCTAAAAAACAAAGAACTTTTGCTGAGTATTGATGAGGAAACTCAGAGCAAAAGATTCGCGTTCAGTGAATTAGGAAACAATCAACCACCCCAGCAATAGCAGTATATTAATGAATAAAGTTCTCAAATTTAAGGAATAATCTAGAGAGTAGATACATCCAACACCTAGAGACAGAAAAATAGAGTAAATCTTAATGTTAAAAGAGGGCTCTTTACAAATGAATTGGATGTCTAATAAATGTTTGGTTTCTCAGACAGAAAAGCATCTCGAATTATAGGAAAAAGTATTAGAGTTTTAGATTAACCTCCACTCCCTATAGCAACTAAAGATATTGAACTGACTTCTAGATTATTGCAAAATAAAGTAACAGGAGTCAGTTTCTATATGAAAGACTTAAATGAACTGAAAAAGTTGGAACTAAAGAGAAGACCAAGAAAAGCAAAGACTTCTGATCAAAATAAAACAACTATTCAAAGTATCTAAAAAACCCCTCTGTCTTATTAACGTCCTTAACAAAGTCCAAGAATCAATGAGGTAGACTAGAATGGGCAGGAAGTTCAATTATCAATGAATGATTAGATTCAACTTAATAAAATAAACAAACCTATAGGTCAAAGGAATAATAATATAGCTTAGACAGACTCTGGTAGGGATTTAGCTCTACGTTCATTAGAGAAAAATATTTAATAGATGAGTTAAAATCTAAATAAAAATACAAACTTTAAGAAGTTTTTTTGGACACCTGATTACAATTTATGTGGGTTCGCCACCTAAAATGAGATAAAAGAAACTATTTCGAGTTATCATAGATAAAGCAAGTAATGAACTTTATCATATGAATATAGGTCTAATAAGTGTTTAAGTTAATTTATTCAAGAAATCTTAACATAATAAAATTAATATTAGAGCTATTTTTGCTTCCCAAACAATCAATCCTTCTTCTTAGGTGGGCGTCTTGGGCAAGGCATTAAATCTTAATCAGTCTTTTTATTCAAATGCTTCATTGGGTAAGCCTCAAGATTATTTCCCTTGCCGTATGAGTCATTGGTCTTGGAGAAGGTTTTAACTTTCAAAGATGAAAGTTCTTCTTCTAATTTTCTAATTTGTTCTTCTTTTGTCAGAGTCTGCTGGTAACCGTCTAATTAAATCATTAGAATTCATAAGTTCCAGTCAAATAAAAATTTCAGTCACTTAAAAGAATCTACTTACCTTGCTGTGAAGCCAAGAAACCCCAATCTTGGTTCCAAATCTCAGCGCATTTGAGTTCATTTGAGACATATGATCTCCAGTTCTAATCGTCAGCAACTTAAGAGATTTCTCTCTTTCTGCCAGCCATGATTTCTCCTGCCTTTTCACCCTTTTTCATCTTTTAGTTTATTATTATTATTTTCAATTCCTTTTATCAAGAAAATGCGAACACATGGGGTTTTGGGGTTTTGGGGTTTTGGGGTTTTGGGGTTTTGGGGTTTTGG